ATTCGTGGATAGTAATAATCCACCGATCCATGTACGAGAAGAGGCGGCCAACTTGGCCCATGAAAATTACCATTTAAAGCGTTCACCTCATTTGTGAAAAATTGCTAGTGTGGATCAGACAAAAATATTGCTTAGTCGGACCGCAGTTTAGGTACAGTTTCACGACAATAATTGTTTTGACTTGAGAATTTCCATCATACTTTTTTTGAACCTAATGGAATTGCTAGTGGTGAAAGCTATTCCAAAAGGTGCTTATCCAGTGAAAGGCTAGCTATTGCGCAGTAAGTATATCTTCGATAGGTTTATTGACGGGAAGTACTCAGCGCTCATGGCTACTTATTCGAGGGGTAACAAATCGCAAATAACTTACAATCGTCAGTGCAGGTTTGCTTGGGCTGCTACACACTGCATTTCTTTTATAATTTTGAGATAGAGACAGTAACAAAGCCTTTCAGAAGTCGTGATTCTCACGACAATTATACATTCTCCTTTTCGCTTTCGCATATCTCTGCACATTATGCCTCTGTAAGAGGCAAGACACGCGTGTAGCAGTTTTTGACCCTTGAAGAAATCTCCTCTCTGAGCAAGTTAGTCGACCCATGATCGCAAGGGTGGTGGTGCTGTCACTGCGCCACAACTGGGCTGATGTTTCGTTTGACTGCTGACCGCTGCCACTCTTGTCAATCGCGGCATACGTGGCGTCTGCGCCCTCTCGCGTACGACATGCTCTCTCTCGCGTTTTCCCTCTCCTCGCAGCGCTGTGTCTCTCCGTCATACCACGGCCGACCTCACAAGGGAAATTTCAGTGTTTTCTATGGTGCTTTTTGCTTTTTCTCCCACTAATGTTCCTCATTGCACTTCCTTGCCTAATTTTGAACAAAATAACCCACCAATTGATCCTGACCTGTGCCTTTAAATAACCCACCAACTCAGAACTCGACAGCAAACGGTTGAGGAGTACTATGTGGCTTTATTTATGTAGTGAGCTACTTTGATTGTCATAACCTAGTCTATAGGAAATCGCTGGGGCCACTCCACAAGGAGTTGCGGAGCTGCGCGCGATGGTGAAGGTGTTCATGGGCAAAAATTTGCTAACATCCTAGAATCAAACCAATGTTGAAGTGTTAATGTATCGTAACACCCTCTCCTACTACGAAGGGTTGGCGCAACTTAGTGGAGTCCACAAAGTTCCAAATTCGATGGAAAAGCCATTAGTCTTGCTTAATCCCAGTCATTGGAAGGAAATGGATTTACTTTTATGATGAGTCCAGGAAAAATCAGTCCTTACAAAAAATCCAGTGGAACGCACATACGAGCTGCTGCCACGAAGTTTGAACTGGCGCAAAGGGGTCACGTGGCCGCAAGCGAGCTCTCAGATTTGAATCTCCTCTCAGAAAGAACACCTTCGGTGATGTCGATCAGGCCACCACCTTTTGGACCTTCTTTGGACGTAGCCTGAAATTCGGCCGACGTTCTTCAGCACACTTCGTCGCAAAAGCCAGTTGCTCCCCTATGAAAGGAGAAGCTGCTTGACAATGATCGTTTAATTTGGGATATGTTATCCAACCCGTATCGTTGGGGCGTGGACATATTTAATTCCGAGTTTAATCATCTATGTGTTGAAGAATGGAAAGATTAGAAGTCTCAAAAAAGATATGGTTCTGCTCGTTAGCCAAATCTCTATGTTCTTGTGCATTTATACTAATTTTCCAGCTAAAAAATGTGTTAATAGAAGTCAGCGATACCCTACGTAGCATTTTTTTTGCATGCCTACTTG